TCCTCTCACACACAAGAAAAAATTTGCTTTTCCACACAGCTACACAGCAAAGACTTTTTGGCATTAGATCAGCCATATAGTAAAGGATCTTAAAATCAGATCTGTGTATAGCTTTGAATTTCTATATTAAAAGAAAAATAACCACACCCACTCACTTTCTCCCAAGATCTACTTAGAGAATGACAAACGGTTCCTGCACAGTTACAGATATTGTGACTTTCTACTACATCACAAAGGGGAAACAGACAGCTACTTCAAATGAAAAGCACACTCCTTTCCATATAGATTGATATTTAACAGGCAGAAATATTTACTTGCTGGTTGCCATGAAAGCAGCCAATATGTAATTAGATTATCAAGGTCTAAAAGCCATAATCAAAGTTATTGTAGATACTGTAAAATAATTTTCAGATCACATGCCAGTTTCAAAGAGAACATCACAACTAGACTAATACCTTGATGGCCAACAGTCCCAAAGGCAATAATATTTCTTTCCATATAATGAGAATGGTCCAACATCAATCTTTTGGGCTTAGGTTATAAAAGTGTACTATAAAATGTCTCTTTCTCAGAAGGATTCACTCAACAGACCAGTCATTTTTAATAAGTCAGTGCTGTGGAAAAGAAGCAGTACCAGTTTCCTGTTACAAAACATATGGCTCCTGCTATAAAAAAAAGTATGTTTCAGCACAGAAAATGCTGCACTACATATTAAAGATGTAAATGACAAGTAAATCAAAATATTTGTGACAAACTATTTCTAAGCTTATTGAAAGTGCAGGAAGAAGTACTCTTTCTGGTTTAAGTAAAAACAAAAAAAGGATAAAACAAACTTAGCCTTGGTAGAAACCTCCTCTGTCTGTCTCCATCTTGCACCCTCTCTCCAGTGTGTACATATGCCCGTACACACACTCCTGACATTGTGTGTCCACACACTGTAGGTAGTTTTCACATGCATAAAGATTCCCTCTATCCTTTAATTTACACAAAAAAGAATGTCAGAATATTTTAATCAGTCTTTTATTGATCTTGTGCTTGCCTACAATATACTGTCACTGTACTATCACCATACCTACATTATACTATCTACTTATACTACATGCATACTAAATACAAATTCAGCTGATGACTGAAACCAGTTTTAAAGCTTTTAATTTTTGATCCCAGAGAACTTGGGATAGCTTTTGACTTACTGACCTTAATTTTATGTAGCCCCAGCATTTTAAAATCAGGCAAATCGTTATTCACCTTTTGAGCAAGAGCTCTACTGGAAGCTTAGCTGCAACAGCTACTCTAACTACGTGGCTACAAGTACTGGCAAAGTCCAAGAGCAATCACTGGAATCCAAGAACAAGATCTGAGTATTTTACTTTCAATTATCATTCACGTCCACTTGCTATGGGTTTTGAGTTGTTTTGTTTTTAAATAAGCTGTGCCTATGGGAGTCACCATTAGGAAGGAGGTCAGCTGACCAAAGACACTGACACTAGGAAATCAAATACCACTATAAACCTTTAATATAGAGCCTACTATCAAAAACTCTTCCTGATAGGATGACATGGAAGAAGCCAAATTGGTTTTTAAAACAGAAATATCAAAAATTTTGCAAGTTCTCTCTGTCACCAGGCAGAATACATGTCTAGGAGCTACAGCTGTAACACTGAAATTACAGCTATAATTTTGAAATGAACTTCTGCATCTCTGTTGTTACAACAGTTGGGGGAAAAGAAACAAAAGCTAACAAAACACAAGACACCACCCCCAGCTACACTAATTTTAAACCAGCAAGTTAAAAAGGAGATTAAGAAGTTACAAGAATGTGCTTCAGCTACTTGAAAGTGGTCTGGAGGTAGAAAACAATCCATCACAGGTGTAATTTAACACTGTGGATTCAGATCTATTTTTTGTGTCAGTAGCAATACCTGAAAACGTTATCGCTTCTGCTCTGCCTCAGCTCTCACCACTACACTGTGCCAGCAATTTCTTTTCTTTCAAAACTGCTGGCTGAGAAGTTTTTGCCCTCACTCTCAACTCTTTCACTGAAGATGTGCAGAGTTAGCTTTAGTATTCTGAAACTTTGTGACTTTGAGGCCAGCATCTTAAGACAGCAGGTCCAAGGGGGCAGTAACCTTTCAACAGGGAAGACACTGGGGAAAAAACAGGAAGGATCACCAGGAGCTAGGTTAAGAACTACTATCTTTTTAGCTGTGTCATTAACAACAGAAAAACACATAAGCTTGTAGTCTTCTCAGAGGTTCATTTTGCATTCTGCTCTCCTGTACCCTATCAAAACATGGACGACACACCTTCAAGGTCAGCCTACATGGCAACTGTCTCTCGTGGACAAGATGTACAATTCCATGTGGTGGCTTCTTATTTTGCTGAAATGCAGTTTGGTAGGTACAAAGTCAGAGATCATACCTCAGATAGCAAGACGAACCACAAAAAAACCTGAAAGTGGAATCTAGCTTTGCAATCACAGCACATGATAAAGCCATCAGCACACAAGTTCATGTTTTTTTACAGTCAACAAGCCTTTATCATGCAGCCTCACCCTTACATATGCCACTGAAGTCAACTTCACCATCTTATGGCCAAAAGAAAGCTTAAAAAAAATATGCAGTGCTCTTCCTACTCAGCCACACAATTCTGTGCTTGCCAGAGTCATCTCTGATAGCCAATAGCCCTTAGTTCACATTGGTACAACAGCTAGGGACTTAACCCAAGAAGAGGAATGCATTGTCTTTCCCTGTAAGACTCTACTGTAGTCGGTGCCTCCATGTAATTCATCTTAATTTCCCAGGTACCAACTTCAGGTTCTCTTTACCAAGATTACCTACTAACACAATGAAGTCTGGGAAATTCTCTCTCTTTTCTCATCTGCAAACAGCTTACCCGAGTTACAGAGCAACTCTACAGAAAGTGATACTTAAAATACATAAATACCCACGCTGGTTCATCAAGTACAACAACATTGGGCCCAGCCAGTACAGAGCAAACAGACTGTTGCTTCTAGGACCTCCATGAGAACAGAATGAAGTCTCAAGTTTTTAGAGCCAAGATAGCTCTGCATATGCCAGTATTTGTGCTGCTGTATAATGTTTCTGCAGTAAGAGTTTGGTGCACTAGCACTCAAGTGAAGTGGGCCTACCTGATTAATCAGCTGTTACCTGCTCGGGTAACTCAAACTTTGCAACTTGGCTTAGCTTTATTATACCTCCTGGAAAACTACACTCTACTCTTGCCATAGTACAGTCAACAGGGATAAACAATACTTACATCCTACTTTATCAAATTAAATTAATTATTCTGAATCAAATTTAGTTTGCTCCTTTTCAATCTAACCACCACCAGCCAGGTTTTTTGTTAAAAAACAGCACCTACATTTTGAAGAGAACCAATGTTTAGCCAGTATACTACTGGTATGAAAACTGAAGAATTTTATGCATTAGTGTGAAGCAGTACTGTCATTAAAAATTAGTTCTTCCTTACTGTAAATTCAGGCATTTCAGGCAAATTCTTCTCTTACCTTTTTCAATGTTTGTTTACTAAAAAGTTTCAGATGCATTTTTGTGAGAATAAGGCAACAATGAATCACCAATTCAGAGCATTAATTGGTCCTAAACAGGTCTGAAAAACCAGAATAAGCATTCTGCAGCAGGTCTGCACAACCACAGTAAACCACTAAACCATTTATTTACATAATTGAGGGGCGACTCGTTGATTCACACAGAAATCTGAGGAAGCCAGGCAGAAGGGTTGGGCTAGTTGAGTGCTAGAGGTCCATTCCAACACAAATTAGTCTATGGCTTGCATGGTATAAGTTGTGCCTTTCCAACATGTTACATCACTGCAAATTAAATATAAACATTCAATCAAGACAATAGTAACAAAAAAAAGCAAAACACCACATCTGAACCCTTCTTTCATTGTAGCAGCAGAACAATCAGCACTACTTCCTCAGCAGAAGCTTGTCACTGACCTACGCATCATCTAACTTCCAGGTAAGACATAGTATCAAGCACTTTAATAACAGCTGAGACTCTTGTCCTGTCACTATTGACAAGTGCAGCCTAATGCAAGCAACTCTTCCTATCAAAGGTATCAAAACGTGATACCAAGACTGGAAGGCCTTAACTTGATGGTAACTCTGCAGCTATGATGCAGTAAAGCCATGCAGTATATGCAAGAAAACTATTTCATGGACAGTCTTCAAAACAAATACTCCGTGCTTAAAAAAAACAGAAACAAGTTATTCAGAAAACTAAAAACTGAAATATGATTTTTTTTAAAAATATAGTTTTGTGGCATTGATCTTTTTTAAAAAAAGAAGAGTAAAAACAGTGACTTTTAGTTCCCTGCACACAAGTTCAGGAGATAGGGATTGAGTATGGCACAAGAGTTATCTCCACCATTGTCTGATAAAGCTGGGATAGAAAACCAGCAGCCTAAACACTCTCACTGGCCTAGCAGAAGACATCAACCTTTACCCTTTAAAATGTGATTCAAGACTTGAAGCTAGAGTGGACTCATAAAAAAATTTTGGAGATTTTCTGTAACCAGTTTTAAAAAAAGGTAGCAACCAGTACCACTGCTATTTAAATTTGCTGTTATACAAACCTGGAGAGGAACAAAGCCACACAGACAAACTCAGCACAGTGGCAAACTACTTCATGACTTTTACTGACTGATGCTGTAGCCTTCCATGTGAAAAAAAACACCTTCCTTAAAATTTGGGTCAGCACATCTAGGTGTTTTTCCCATTTATTAATAGCACTTTGAACTACAGCAGAAAGGAACCATACTTTGAAGTTGTACTTCCTCCCTATTAAAAAATAAGTTTAATCAACATTCAGATGCATTTAAAGAAGACAAAAAACATCCTTTTATCCAATCTGGTCTGAAATTTCTGTTAAATTCTCAATTACAAATTGCAAAGACAGTCAAAGAAAAGCAACTGTACCTTCCCATAAGTTTCCCAGTGGCAAATTTGTTCTTACCTGTAATTGCAACCTTGTCAAGGTTCTAGTTCAGTGCTGAAAGAATTAGTTTAAAAAAACCAAGAAGCACGTAATAGAATGACTTGCAAAACCTTGAGATAACAGTACAGGACACAACATCTGCTTTATTTTGGTATTTCCTAAAAAAGAAACAAAGAAAGTAGTTAGCTACCAGATGGTTTACAACAGATTTGTACACGATTTTTTTTCATGAATACAACTTTTTTCCTAAATCGAAGTGCTTGAACTAAAGCTATGTCTGAATGTCAAAAGACCTTTCAGTACACTCTGTAAACACCATATTAAGGACTCAGGCTACCAAAGACTTGGATTTACTTTTTTTTTTTTCCACATTTCATTCACCAGCACAGACTAGCACTTAAAAACCCATCTAGCCTATTAAGTTCCTAAATTCAGTAACAGAAGGAATAGCTTTTGTATGCCTGCTAAGGTAACAGGCCTGTTTGCTTCACTTCATTCACCCCCTCAAATGGCAGAGTACACTCTGAGCGTTTGACAAGACTTAAACCCCCCAAGTGTGGCATGAACAACACGTAAGCTCTTTACTCTGCACACTCAGGTGTAAAAATGCACACGTGTTTAAAACCAAAGCAATAACCTTCATCTGCAAAAGTATTTCACCTCTTAAGTTTGTATCATCACATTACTTAAAAAGCAGTTTCTATAAAATTAACTATAAATTCAGCTTAAAAAGTAAAATACCAAATAACAAATAATTCAGATGTGTATCTATGAAAGCATCTAGACATCTACCCATTGTTTTTAACTGCATGCAAATGTCCTAATTCCTTCATGGATCAGGGAGTACGTATTTAATCTTACGAAGCAGTGCATCTGACATAAGTTACCATGACAGTACACTGCTCGAAGGAACTACTGCTGGAAGAACTCTGGACACCAGCCACCTTTCTTTGGGGCATGAAAGAAATACAAGCCTTATTGTAACACCAACGAGTTTAAACGGATTACAGCCCTCTGGGCAGCTGAATGAGTGATAAAGGGGACATACTGCAGACCTTGGCTTTTTAAGCCCACTGACTGAAGAATGGAGTTTGGACATCATTATGGCTTGCCTCTTCCAAACACTAAGCAGTGCTTTTCAACTACCAAAGAGTGTCCTAAGCAAAGGAATACTTGGCTACTGTTTGAAGAACTGTAAGGGTTCAGTGAATGTTATGCCTGTACCATTACACTGCTGCAAGCCCTGTATCTTCCCCAACATTCTCTCTTCCTAGGCACCACAACAGGATGGATGGCTCAAGGAAGCAAACCAAGCCCGAAAAAGTTGATTATTTTCTGCCACCTGAGCACTCAAAAGTGTATCACAAGTCAGAAATGCAGAAGCAGTGGCTGCTGTCAATTCAGAGTTGCTCAGAACACTGTGAAACCACACCTTAAGCGGCATCTCTGAACTCTGGAAAAATATTTTGAAAGAACTAGACAGCAAGTCTCTTAAATCATTGTATTGGACTACACAGCAAAAGCCCTCACAAAAAAGGCAAAAAAAGTTTCAGTTACAAAATATACTTCCACACCCAAGAAACTTCAGAGGAAAAAAAAGAAATCCCACAAGCAACACAGATTCACAAAGTTGTACGAAGGAGCCCAACAGCCTCTTCTTAAACAAACCAGAGACCAGGGCATGAACAGAATGTGACCAGAACTTAACTCCCTTCAAGCACTGTCTCCCACCTTCAGAGGATTCCTTTAGCTAGGATGGATGGTACAGGGTGATTGAAGAACCAAGTGCTCAAGGACCTCCATTCTTCTGTTGCTACTCCAGTAGCCTTTAGAGGTGACTGACTCACAAAAGCAGGCCGGATGACAAGCATTATGCTTCCCAGAAGCAAAAGGCTTGACCCCTCCCAAATTCTTCTACTGTACAGAGAATGCAAGAGCACTCATTATGCAAGGTGACTTTTAGCCCAGAGACAGGTTGCTTACTGTAGGGCAGATTCAAAAGATAGATATTTTGGGATAAGAGCATCTTGTTCCAGAATAAGCTCCAATTTACACAAATTCTACTCACACTAAGTCTCAGAAGTGAGAAATACAGTATCCACTGTCCCAAATCACAAAACCATCTTAAGGTCTATATTGCACTACAGAACATTGCACAGAGGGGACACCACTACTACTACTAATTTCTGCACAGCAGTGACTTCTCTAAATAGGCTGCGCCATATTTTTCTCCACATGAAAAGACATTTGGAGTCACAATGCAGTGTTGGGATAACAATATATCCAGCCCAAACAATTTCTGTATCAACTACTTACATACACAAATGAAACGGTCTTGTCCAGATTGCTCTTCATAAATTACATCACAAGAACAAAGCTGAATGCTTCCTATTAAAGGCTTAACAATACTAAAATAGACATCTGACTTCTCCAAATAGGCTGCACCATATTTTTCTCCACATGAAAAGACACTTGGAGTCACAATGCAGCGTTGGGATAACAAGCTAATATATCCAGCCCAAACAATTTCTGTATCAACTACTTACATACACAAATGAAACAGTCTTGTCCAGATTGCTCTTCATAAATTACATCACAAGAACAAAGCTGAATGCTTCCTATTAAAGGCTTAACAATACTAAAATAGACATCTAGCATTTTATTGGGGCTCATTAGATCTTTGGAGTATGTAAACACTTAATGTTTGAGTAGGACAAAGTTAATTCAGTAAACTTTTATAGTTTTTGCAACTAAAATACCAGTACCCTACAGTAAAATAGTTTTTAATTGAGCAGAACTAAAATATTCCTTGAGTAATAAAGAATTTTAATTTCATCCTGTTTATATTGTTTTCTTCAGAAGGTAAATACTATGCAGCCAAAGCCATCGGAAGTAAATCACTGCTGAAGAACTAAGTAAAATATTCAGAAGCAAGTATATGGAAAAAAAAAAGAGTCTTCCAGAGAAAGCTGAGGAAGCTTCTGTTATTTTTCAGAAGGGTAGGCATCAAACGCTGTTATTCCTTATGATTTTAAATACATACTTCATAACCTCAGTAGCAAAGCAATAATGATCCTCAAGCTGAACCCTAACATTTAAAACGGGGAGGGGGGGGGGAAAAACAAAAAACTCCTGCAACATCCAGTTCTTCACAAGTTTCCAGACTCTCATCTGAGAAGCACAGGAAAAACACTGGTTTTATTCTGCTTCACAACCAGCTATGACTTTGGCCTTTAATGGGCAAGCAAATCACTGCTGCTCTAAAACAAGTAAACAAACCAACCAACCCAGTCCCTGAACATCAACAGAAAGAGCTATAATCTAATAATTGACCTTATAATATCTTAATATCACCAGTGATCATCCACCAGAACTGTAAATTGCTTCATTCAGAAGATACCAAAATATTTTGCAGAGCAAAAGACACTAGAAGAAAGAAGAATAGTGTGAGCTTAAGAACAATAGTGTGAGCTTATCACTGCAACCTCCCAGTTGCATGTTCCCAAGGCAGAGTAAACGCAAGATAACATCCCTCTCCTGAAAGAGGCATTCATTAGGTTACCTGATCTTTTTCACGAACAGAAGGGCATGTACCTAGGGAGTGCACTAGCTGTCCTGCAAGTTCATACAGTAGTTCTTCCTTAGGGCTTTGTCATATATGTAGACTAACTAAAACAGGAGTTAATTTCTGTGTAATTATTTAAGACAATTTAAAACTTTCACCCTAAAGAGAAAGTTCTTTTTTCTTTGTAATAAAGGATAATGAACTCTAGCTGCACTTGCCAAGTCGTTCTTGGTTCTCTACAGAAACACAGTGAATCAACAAGGACTAATCCAAGCCTTGCTTTGTGTGTGTGTGGCTTTTTTTTGTGTGTGCGTCTGTGTTTTGGTTTGGTGTTTTTTCTGCTTTCCAAACATGGAAGCTGCACTAAAATGATCATTATTAAGAGCTGAAGAAAAATGAATAGAAGTTGAAAACTAAGAACTGAGGTAATTTAAGCACTCTATCCTTTTTGAAGCAGTTCATTTAATATTATGGTTTTGTAAAAACTGTAACACTGCATTTTAGAAGTAACACTTAGGGCTTCTCAAAAAAAAGATCTAAATGCCTTGATGTAAGTTTACTTGCAGTTCTGGAGCAGCTTATTCCCAGTTAGTCATTTGAACTATTCACAGCTGTATTTCCAACAGGAATTCACCCCATTAGACTTGTATTTTACAGTCATCTAAAACTTGGTAATATTACATGCTTAGCACTGAAATTAGGTCCATACTTTTAAATATCACCACACAAATGGTGGACTTCAGCTACAGCAACAGAAAGCTGCCCTTTGATGCATCTTACAAAAGTTAGTCTGAACTTTTTTTCTGCAGACCTATCTTGAATACATATTTGTAAGCCACCCTTCCCTTGAATTCCTAAATTCTCAATAATTCTCTTTCAAGCAAGCTTTAGGTCAGTACATGTGCATCATGGCTGGGTGGCTGTGTTGGCAGAAGTGGTAGCTTAAGCAGTATTTGCTCTCAGCAGCTCGTTTCCACTTCCACGCTTTGTGGCTGAGCAGGACACAGACAGTTACACCGGTGCAAGTGAATGCCTGAAGCAGAGACTGCTCATGTAGCTGATGAGTAACTCAAAACTCTGTTGAATTATACAAGCAGAAGGTGAAGGACTATCAAAAGCCAGCCTTGCAAGAATTGAGAATGCACATATGCAATCCACATTTGCCTACTGGGAGCTTGCTGGCAAGCACTTACCCCTTTCTCCTGTAACAGACCAGAGTTATGCTTAGCTTAACTCAAGCACAGAAGTACAGAACCATGCTTCCATCAGTTACACCAGACAGCTTTTCAAACACCCATATTCAGGAGCTGAAGAAAAAGACCATCTAA